AAAAAATAAAAAACAATTGTCTTTGAAGAAATTCACTTTGATAACGTCTACTTTACTTCACGACTTGCTCACGAATAATACACTAAATGTTCATAAGTGCCATCCTAAAAGTGCATATTTTATTCCTGAATAAGCAAAAGATAGAAAGAGATCGGAGATAACTGGAGAGTAATAAATAAATTAGTCATAACAAAACTCACAAAAGTGCCAACGCTAATTAGATACGCAATAATGGATATAGATAGATAGAAACAATTACCAGGTCAGAGATGCTTATAAGTGTCACCCTAAAAGGCCATATTTTATAATCCCAAATAAACAAACTTTACAGCTTACAATACAGAATTACACGATGAATATCAATAAATTGAATGTTTTCCTTGGTTTTTATTAAGTTATTTTTACTGCCCGGATATATTCGAATCTGAACGTTTTAGCGACATAAGTTGCGACGCCGACCGTATATATACGGGTCTGCACATTTTGGCCGGATTTGCACGCCCGTGTTAATACGTTTCTGCGCGTTAAGGGGTTAAGCGGCGTATTTGATTCTGGAACGAGTCTTTTTTGGTTTACTTTAGTATTTTTTCTTTATAACAAAAAGCAATGGAACTCCTAGCCTCGGCGTGTATCATATACCGTAGTGTGCATAATTATAAAATAAATACAACTTATACATTGTTACCGATATCTAAATGAAAATTTAACGATATACATATTCGAAACAATAGAAAATAGAAATATGCAAATATGATATTTTGGTAAGTTTTGTTTTGTAAATATATAGGGTGTCTCGATTAAAGCCGACCATCTACAGTGCTGTAAACAATTACAAACTCAAAGTTACTTTTACATTTTTACTGAGATTTAAACAAAAATCGAAGAAATTATATTTGTGCATTTCTATTTTCCATTATTTATCATTTTGAAATGTACGAATGTAAAGTTACTTGGAATCTACAATTGCCCGCATCATTGTATATTTGTTACCCTTTCAACGATAGCTACAAATTCTTACAACGAGAAATAGTGAAAATTAATGATAACCTCGTGAGCAATCGTGTGTAAAAAAAATGCCGTTATGGCTGTCATGATTCCAGCCATTGCATTTGTGCGAAACAAAATAACAAACGAAGAAGATTCTTAACCAGGATATTACTTGGCTAGCAGGTTCGAGACTAGAACACACACACCCTTAAACGCGCATAGCGTTTTCCAAGTATACAACTTAATTTGTATACAGATTAACTCTCGACAATTAACTGAATTCATTGTTCCAGATTTGCATAGATCAATAGTACCGGGATCAATGAATTTTTCGAGCATTGCTCTCACAGTTTTTTCTCTTCGGAAGAATTGATTTTGTAATCGATCGCCTGTAAATTTCTCTGTGATCACCATCGACGTGTGATATCAAAACGATGAAGATTTCTTGATTCTGTTTTTATAAATCTGAATCAATGAAAGTGGATAATCGTTAAAGAAAGCGTACAGTGGAAATTATTTTGATCAAGCCTATCGCGCTTAGTGATAAGCATGATTGAAATTTTATTTGGGTAATTTATATTTCGCGCGGTAAAATCCAGACCTTCTTCGCAAATTCACAGTTTTATGCTTTAATTTACAGAGGCAGGAGTAGAGCTGAAGATTATTTTTTAATTAAACGCTTACATATTTACATTTGCAATAAATTTGCCGAATCTACCTAAATAATGATAACGTGTACCAGGTACTAATTAGGTATTCGCATAGATTTTCCAACGGTGTCACTTAACAGATTGTTCTAATATCACTATAATGCGTCCCTCTGCTATAACAATATCTTTTTCAAACATTTTGGAAAACGGACTTTTTCTTGCACTTCAATTTCGTTTCAAATTATCTTTGTGGATTAGCGTTGTTTCATGAGAAACAAATGGTGTAATTTGCTTTTGAAATATATAATAATGCAATATATATGTAATAATATAATCAATCGATGAAAATGCCATTTGTTCCTACACGTTCACAACAGTAAGAACGGTCAGTGTTGTGATGGTAAAACGTCAACCATAACACTTGCTAACTAATGTTGAAGTTGGACAAATGTAGATGATTATCGGTACGCCCGATACGATATAGCGATCGAATTAACCGAAAAGCTTAGGCAACAGGTTTTCTAGCTGCGCTTACTTCCCGGCAATTCGACTTTTATTGCAGCTAACCGTATGCTGAACGAAGAGGGTTAAAAGCCCGATTCAATTTCCTCTAACGTCGGCATTTTTCTAAACGTGCATAGCGATCGCCTCGCGCTTATTAGGTGTAAAACGCGTAGTAAGACTTAATATTGTCCTTTAACAATTTAAATCGCGTAAGACCCAAATTGATCAGTTAACCCCTTAAGAGGAGGGAGCGAGTATAATCGCCGCAACAAGCTGCACCGAGCGAAATGGATGCATCCGCCTTCACGGTTCATCTGTATTTCAATAATGAATTATGATTATTATCGGCCAGTCTTAAGTAATCTAAGAATATTGTAAAGAGCCAGTAGAATCGGTCGAATTTACGCTTCAACGAACGAGTCCAGAACTGGCTTTCGATACGGCGAACGAACTCCTCAGGTTCGAAGAACTTAAGCACGACTTATACATATAAACTCTGTTTTTCTACATAGTAGGGTACGTTCCAGAATAAAAGCATGTAAAAAAATACCGTGTGCAGGAAAATAGGGGATTGGTTCTATATCCTTAAAACCTGTAAAAAATAGCTGAAATAAATACGAAAAACCTCATGAGGAGTCTCTATATAAAGTCATATTTAATTCGTACGTGAACATGAAATGGTTTCTTGTGCAAAAATAAGATAAAAGTGTAGTATAAAAATTGGTTATGCTAGCTTCCATTTTCAGAAAGTTTGTCTGACACGTGTACATTTTCTTTGCGATAAAGAGACGCGTTAAATTAAAAACATATCAGCTGAATTTTATTTGTTGAACTTTTGATACGAATGTTTTATATCGCGAACAATAGAGAGCGTAAACGGAACTTTTACTATGCTCATTTCATTCATTTTTATGCAAAAGCTTACTCTGTATTCGGTTATATCGTTCGAATGATTCACCCTGTGATGGCAAACTCGATATTGCTTTAACCTTCGTGTACTTTCTAGATAATTGGTACATTAACCCATTTATACATAACGATTCAAACCGCCTCCCTACATGAATGACGGGCCACTCTCTAAGATCGGCAGCGTATCATCGGCAATTTTCACTTCTTAAAAATCAATTAGACGTTACAAGTATGCGAATTAAATATTTCTGGGACCAGCCTGCTATCTGAGTAATTTTTAATCATGAGAAAAATTAGACGGAACTAATATACTGCATAAATTGTGAATCGAACGAGAAACTTTAGTTTTCAGTCAGGTCATGCTAATTTAGAGTTTAACCCGACTGCGTCTGTAAGCGAAATACAGTGAATTCTCCCTAATTCGCGCTTAGAATATGCACAAAAATGGACAATTTTGGAAGAGGGGATACGATTAATCGAGCCTTGCGGCTCGTTTTTATAGTTATAACTATAAGTATAGTTATATTCAACAACAATAAAAACGAGCGGCAAGGCTTGAATAATCGTATCTCCTTTTCCCAATTTGTCCATTTTTATGCATAATCTGAGCGCGAATTAGGGAGAATTTACTGTATTTCGCTTACAGACGCAGTCGGGTTAAACTCAAAATTAGCATGACCTGACTGAAAACTAAAGTTTCTCGTTCGATTCACGATTTATGCAGTATATTAGTTCCGTCTAATTTTTCTCATGATTAAAAATTACTCAGATAGCAGGCTGGTCCCAGAAATATTTAATTCGCATACTTGTAACGAGACGCTAACTGAACTGCGAACTTTATCCATTCATGACAAAAGTGCATAAGTCTCGCACAAAACTGTGAAGACATTCAAAGAATTAGCGGATATGATTGCAATTTTCTTAGACAATTTTTATTCTGCATAAGAATCCGCAGTCTGAAGTAATGCTTAAGGAGAACCAATTCAAACTACAAACTACTACTACTAACTCCTTAACGCACAAATTTTTTCATTGAATACATATACATGTCGTTCCAGAACTTAAATCAATTTTTAAATCTGTTTTCACTTGTTCGTTGAAAAAAAAAATTCACGTCATTCGATTCCTTCGTGGTACAAACACTTGTATTTGCATAGAAAATGGAACGTAATTTCGAATTTAATGAATATTAAAGCTATTCCTTGTTAATTTAGTGCGCCGTTAAGGAGTTAATTAATTTAAAGATGTTAACGATAAATCTCTCTGTAAACTGAAAATCATGTTATAAACTGAAAAGAACTGTTTTTTCAGAGATCAGACGACAATAACCAAAAATAAAATTTTCTTTGTTACACGTTCAATTGTTGCTGGCCGCGGTTTCCCTTTAAATGACAAATCTCGCTGATCGACGTTCTACATCTACCTCACTTCCGCTCGTTATATCTATTCTCTTACTTTCTCAAACCGTGCTTGAGTCAGTTCTTAGAAGGAGAAGTTGTCCCGTGCGTTTAAATTAGAGCTACGCATTTCACGTATATTTGATATACACGTATGCACGTGTAATTAATATATCGGTCTACTTCTTTGTACGCACATATTATTAATATCTAAACTTTTTATACGATTATTATTATTTTTATATGATGTTATATATGATTATTGAACAGACATAATAATTTCTACTAACTCCTTGCACTATAATAATGAATTCATCGAATGATATCGATAGATATCCAATGAGAATCGAAACAAAATTTGATATTTCCGTCGTCAAAATCGATGTAAATTTAGCTGTGCACTATTGTAAGTCATTATACTGTCGTTCGGCCTCCAGTGATTATTACTAATTCTGTGATGTTTAATTTTCAGTAAGCGGGAGGGCGGGAACCGGCGGAAGCGGTGGCGGCGGGGGTGGTGCACCTCTTTATGGTCGTTTGGTAGCAGAGGAACCCCTGCCTCCCTCGGTATGCGGGGGTGCTGGTGTCGGCGGCGGGACCGGTGGGGTTCCCCAAGAAACTCCTGCGGACATTCACGCCATGCAAGCTAGGATACCCCCTAGGTTTCGAGATCCAGCCACCGCACCCCTTAGAAAACTCAGTGTCGATCTCATAAAAACTTACAAGCACATCAATGAGGTAACCGAAACTTTTTTCACATTTACAATGATTCCGTTCTCATAGAAATCCACGCCGGTTTTATGATCACTTATGGTGATCTGGCAAATGAATGAATATTTAGCGAATGAACATTTCCCGTATTATATAAAAAAGTAACGTTGATAATATCATTTTCAGCTTAAAAATTTATACATTTCTACTACTTTGTCGATCGTATTAAGTGTTCATTCATTGGTCTTTTGACACATTTTTCACTACTTCTTATGTTATAGTACGAACTTAGAGTAAAACATTCAGGGAATTAAGTAACAATTATTTTGACAAGTATGCAGTTTAAGTGTTAATCAGCTGTTCTTTACAAGGAAGAGATTCATAGAACAGAATTTATTTCAATTTAAAATAAGGGAATGGCAATCCACATATTTGATGGATTATGTTCGAAATCTTCATAATGAATCTGGCACGATATTTTAGTGCAAAGTAAAATTATAAAATGGTTGTACAAAAGTGATCAAGTGACGGAATGATTATCTATGTATTTAGCTTCTGCTGCTTATAATTTATGCAGATATTTTTTGTTTTGCATGAAGATCCGCAATCTACCCATCAATTATACTTTCGTCTCAGGATCGAACTGTTATCCATTTTCATCTTTTAGGTTCTGTTAAAGTTAATTACTTTCCACTTACCTTGTGCAGAATGTCACATTATAAACACAACGTGACTATAAAGTAAATGATGTTGAGTATCATCGTAAGATCTTTGACACAACTACACTCAGTTTCAACATAAGATCGAATTATTATATCGTTCAATGTTTTACAAATAATTTTTAAATCGTATTGCTTATATTGCTTGTTATATATCACTCTTAAGATTATTTATTACTTAATTTGTCTGATTATAATTTACATCATTTACAAACTATTTATTAAACTATATTGAAAACAGAGCATGATTTGTAACTTTTTTTGACGCCTTCCGCAGGAAAAAAAACGGTTGGCTCTATTCCATATTATAAATAGACTTTTTCCTAAGTACTTAATTTATCAAGTGAACGGGAAAATGTTCGTCACAAACACCAGGTTTCGGACGTTATTTTTATTTCGACCATTGTTTATACATACTATATTTGCAATATAATATCAATGTTAAGATTTCATTATTGTTATTATTAAATACACAAAATATTTGGAAAGTTTAAGGTGTGTTGAACAGTGTTATTATTTTCTATTATTATTATTATTATTTTCTATTATTATTATTATTATTATTATTATTACGATATAAAGTTATTTACGTTAACAATGAGGCATTTATGTTAGAGCAAGTCATAAGATCGACATAAATTTTTGGATTAACTTCTTAATAGTTAATAGCTTGTAATAACAATTTTTATATATGGTAGACAGACTTTTAGAACTACACATTGACCTTAAATGGTTACAGTAGCTGCAATATCCGATCCACACATGCGAACTTTAGATATAATACTGTCTGAACGTTTCTATTTATGGTGGTACATAAGATAAACGTCCCTATTCGCGACAACGTTACTATTACCGATCACCTTTCCGTTCACGGTGGTAAAAACTCCAAACAAAACACGTAAGGTTAAAGGATTTTAGATTTTAATTCGCTATTGCTAGTTAGCTGTTATATTCAGTAACACGTGTAAGTACCATAAAAATTTTCAATCATGTTTCTTAACGGAATACTGCGGAGATATTAGTCAAAAGGAGTTAACGTCAAAGATAAATATTTATTGAATCAATTGATCTATAACAAAAGCATCTAGAATGCAATCTGTATCACATTGATTAATGAACAAGATTCAAATATCAATTATCTAGAAAAAGAAGAGCATCTTCATTCATCTGATTTTTGAAAAGTTCGCACAGTTTAAATTCGTTGTAAAAATTAATTTTACATTCGAGATCTCAATGAACTCAAAAAATCAAATCACGAACGACAACTGTAATTTTCCAATTCCAATTTAACTATGCAAGAATACTAGAAGACCAAATTTTTAAATTTGACAACTGCAGGAAATGTGTTGAAAACAATTTTGATTTGCTCGACGAATTAAAATCAAGCAATTACTTTTGTCTCAGGTTTCTTCATTGATGAAATTAGAAATGGAAATTGCTTACGACAAATTTTGCAGTTCCAAAGTGACAAATCTATTCCAAAGTGATAAATCATTCGACTCCCTGTAACATATTAGTATAATTCATGAATTACATCACAGTTTTCTTAATCACGCCTCTCCTCTTTCTGTCTCGTTCTTCGCCATCTGTTATTCGATGCCCACCTCTTCCTCTTCTTTGTTTCGTTTACGTCCGTGACTCCTTCAACTACACATACCTACCTACTTATTCGTTCACTTTCCCTTCCCTCCTAGCTGTTCTGCCATTCAAGCATAAAGTTATAATTAGACTGTGGATGGTTATGCAAAATCGCATTTTTATAGATAAATTCTAAGAAAGCAAAGTTGAATAGAATTTCACTTGCGACAGTAATTACAATTTTAATAGACCAACACTATTCTAAAACTGTATAAAATTCTATTCTCTCCTTGAACCTTACTGTTGTTTTTTCTTATTTTAATGCATTCAAATACTCTGTCTAGCCATAAATGATGTTTGAACTAAAGGTCAGCAGTGTACAGTTTTTACTATTTTACCTCCGTTCGAAGACACTGCAAAATGTAATTGTACTTAATTTTGTCAAATTCACAATTTTACATTTAATTTTCACGCATAAACAAAACGAACATTGCAACAAGCTGTCAAAATATTTATTGAACACTCGACGATCACGCACTTTTTATTCAAATTATTATAATGTTAATAGGCCGCAAAGATGTGGCTTTGCTTCAGATCGTATGTCTAAAATGATCAAATCGTTATTCTGTGCAATAAGTCCATTTTTGAAAACTTCGCACGTTGTGTAAGATTCGTAATGTTCCTATAAGGAATTTACTACACAATAGTAAATGTAGCGCAAATAGAAATGTAATTTTTTGGAGGGATAAAAGTCGGTCATCAAAACCGGTTCACAGTGGGTGTTTTGGAACTAGAACTGCAAACTACGTCGATCAATAAAATTTCAAAAAGAGTACGCGAAAATCTTAGCAAATAGATTCTCAAATTCTCAACTTTTCGCTACTTGAATTATTTTATACTTCAAGAATCACTAATACTTCCTCCGATTGTGTTGGTGACACTGTCGAGCAAATGTCAACTTTCCTTTTTTATAATTCTCGACCAAAATGTAAATTCGAAAATCAAAATGCTCCATCAGCCCCAGTTTTCGAAAAACACGAGTATTTGTAAAATTGGACCTTTTGTCGAAAATTGAGAAAAAATCCGCGAAAACTAAACACGCTATTACGTTCCATTTAGACTCAAAAAGTAGATGAGACTTACCTGAACGTAACGGTATATGCAATTATTAAATTATGCAGCTCTGAATGGTTTTAACTGGCCGTCAATGTTTGACAATGGGATGATAAGTGCTTTTTGAACACAAAATACTTCGACACATTTTTGAAAAGTTTTTCTGCTGGAACAATTTGTCTACTGGATTCGTGTTTGGAATGAGAAGCTCTGTAATGATCATCTCGTGAATTTTAATTGGAAATGATATGTCAAAACATAATTTTTTGTTTTCAAACATAAATTTTGCTAACGCTCTTTAGAAAAATGAGTTTTAGCAAATTTATAAACACCGATTAACAGCTTTTTTAACATCAAAAACTTTGATTAAATAATTGTATGCACACGCGTGAAATAATTTTTAGTGCAAAATTGCGCAAAATAATACCTCGATTATAGTTTATTAACTTAGTATTATAAGAACTAGGAAAAGGAGGAATACAATAAGATATTCGAACTTGATACTTTTGACTTTCATATACGAAACTGAATTTATGTATTCGGTAAGAGATCTTAACTAAGTAACTTTCAATATATAGTTTCTTCTAACTGTATTAATTTGTATTCACAATTTACAGGTTTATTACGCTAAGAAGAAGAGAAGGGCGCAACAGATGCAAGGAGAAGATGGTTCCCATAAAAAGGAAAGAAAATTGTACAACGATGGTTGGGATGATGATAATCATGATTATATTATCAAAAATGGGGAAAAGTTCCTCGATCGCTATGAGATCGATTCGTTAATAGGTAAAATTATCACTTAAATTTAATATTAACGTTTTCACAGATCGAACTATTGTTTTCATGAATATACAAATTTTTAATACGTCATCTGTTTTAAATTTTGTGGAGTTCATGAACTACATTGATCTCGATTAAGTTGCAGTAAACCAAACTGAAATATAAA